CACACGAGACAGTTCAGTAGATATTCCACTCCCATTCACTGAACAACTGACAGTAGTAGGAGGACCATCAGAAACATTGAAACTGAGACTGAAGACTGGAGGAGTAGCTAATCTACTAGTGGAGAGGAGAGAGAACTGCATAGTAGGATCAGCATCAGGACCATCTGTAAAAGAAGTACATTAATTATAGTCTATATTCATCACATACCATTGTTATTGTATCCAGTATCAGTATATGCTCCAACCACTAGTGTCTGATTCACTCCATTCTTGTCAGGAATGATACACTTGTATAAACCTTCATATCCTGATAGGTCACCTCTTCTAGCTAGTGCAATCTGACCACTGAATCTCTTACTGTACACTGGAATAGGAACTGATAGATCACCAAAGGCTCCATCAAATAAAGGTACTTCAGTTCCATTAGGATAATACCACACTCCAATATTAGTAACATTGTTAGCACTCTGACACCACAAAGCGTCATTGGTGTCAAGATGGTCATTATTCTGATTAACATCATAAAACTGACTAGCATATATCATAGAGTAATCAGGTATTATCCTGTCCACATAAGATAGGTACAGTTGAACACCTAATGTGTATAATATTCACACACTAACACTTATTTTTATTCTTACGGTTGCTAGGTAATATGATAGAAGGTAGTGCTTTTCCTTCTCCTACTTGAGCTAAAAGACACCACACAACAGTAAAATAGCAGGTAGAGTTCGATGGCTTCATCTTGTGTCTACTGGCTATAGTCTGAAATGCTGTAGTCTTACAATGTTTGTTTTTGTTGACTTCCTGCATGGTAACAGTCAACATGCAACATTATGAAAGCATAAAAATTGATACAAATTTATATTATTACTTCAGTTCATCATAATTAACTTTATGATCATAACAATAGTAACAGTGTTCCAGAACCCAATCAAAAAACAAAATTTAAAATCAAAAGCAAAAATTATACTTTTATGTGTGTAGTGAAATCCAAATAGATCTAGCTCTATGTCTGGAATGAATCAATATAAAATGATTAAAAAAATTTTTTACCATTAGGTAAAAATCATTTAACCATACAATTAATGCAATAAGAGTTCAGTTTGAGAGAATAATAAATTGTCATAAGTCTTTCCCTTTAACTCTCCCTGCTATATTAGTGCTATGTACTACAACCTTGTTTTCAATACATGCTGATAGATAATGACAATTTTTATGCTACAAAATAATTAAACCCACTAAAAATAAGTACCGTAGTCTAGCTAGAAATATCTGTGGCCCACGACAAAAATGGCTTTTGGGGATTTTATTTTTGCAATCCTGAGATCACACTATTATTCTTCACTGATGAATGATTAAATGATTAATAATGGCTGCTCTTCCTTACTTACCTAAACTATAGCTGATGATGACAATAGTTTAGACAAAGCTCTATCAGAATAAAAGGCAAAGTAAGATTATACTCTTTGTCTTTGAGTCTTTCACTCTGCTTGGTGAAATACACCATGTATGCACAGCTTCATATTAATTACACTGAGACAAGGCGTGGTGAGCCACACCTTTAAATTTCCCTAATTTTTGGAGGGTTTAATTTTTTGCAATTTTCAAAAACTCTCAAAATTTGCAAAAAATTTGGCCATAGCTATACTATAATTATTCATCAGGCATTGTATATCAGGTATTACTTGATTGTTTTCCGTATTTTAAAAATACGGTAGCTACTACTTTATATGCTAACTGATTAATTACTTTATTTTTGGAAGTGAGGATACATGGTTTAATTTTTGTGAAACTCGTTGAAAAAAATCACTTAGGGAGTGGCAAGGAAACCTAGCAATAATGCATCAAAAGTAATAATAGCTCCAAAATCACCTTAAATTTTTATTACATATTTCGATACGCTACGTATTAATGTATTATGCTACATAAAAAGTTTGACTTCAATTTTTTGAGTTATGGCCATTTTAAAAATTTGTCAATTTTTGAAAAAATCCTTGTACTATTATAGCCCATGGTTTTTTCCAAAAATGGCTCAAAAATCACCCCCAATTTTTATTTCATTTTTTGATACATATTGATGTACTTATGCTATGTAGAAAGTTTGAGCTGATTCCGAATTAAACTTTTCAAGTTATTACTATTTTTTTAAATAGGCCAATTTCTGAAAAAATCCCTGTACTATAGCCCATGATTTTTTCTAAAAAATGGCTCAAAAATCACCCCCAATTTTTATTACATTTTCTGATACATGTTGATGTTCTTATGCTATGTAGAAAGTTTTAGCTGATTCTGACAAATATTTTTCAAGTTATGAGCATTTAGCTATAAGTACAGAGACTTTTGTCCAATTTCTGAGCAACTTACAAAATCCAATTTTGATTGGAATCAGATCAAAATTGATACACAACATGAGAACATGCATATTTTTCAGTACAATCAAATAAGTATCACATAATATACATTCATATTAAATTTATTCAAATATAGACTAGTCAGTACAAAATATATTTATGCTGATTAAAATAAAAGTAAAAATTCAAAGCATTAGCATTTTAAAAATCACAAAAATAAAACCAAAAATACGGTAAAATAAAAACATGTCAATTTCTTATTCCAATACTTCTTAAGTAGTGAAATTTGAATATGTCTCAAATGAATCCAAGTAGGTCAGTACAATCTGAAATATCCCTTGATATTGTTGCTAAAAAAAGAAGAGTATTTATCTTACTAAAAACACCATAAAACCATACAAAAACACAATTTTAAAACTATTAATTTTTTTATTGAGGTAGCAAATAAATATTACGTAAATCATTATACTTACAACAGTCTGTACACTGCCTGGTTTTTGAATACGTTGACTTTTGAGTACTTGAAATACATCAATGACTCCTTCAGTTTTACATTTATTAATTGTTGTAGCAGCTGCACAAAACATTGCTGAACGACCAACTGTATCACTATAAAGAAGGAAATTGAAACTAATATTTAAATCACATTTCTTTCTCACCTGCAGTGTACTACAATGCTTGTGTTTCCTCTTCTTCTTTGTGTCTTATACATTTCTTCTATTACTGATAGTATAGTCTGAGGTTTAGCCATTTTTCTCGTTGAAACCCAATTTGTTATCTGATACTGCATTACACTTTGAGTAGAACCAGTCTATATAAAGTAAATTAATGATACTTGTATGTAGGTTATTATTCATATCTTACATTAGTATTTTTAACTTCTAATTTTCTTTCAATATATCCATTATATATCTCTTCACTTGATAGCATAATAGCATATTCTCCAATTACTAATCCACTTGGAGTTGAAGGCCAGTACTGGTAGCAAACCTCCTATGATAAGTTATCATGAATTATTATTCATTATTTTACTGCTTACTTGATCAATTTCCTTTTCATGGCATAGCATTACAATAGCAGTCACATTTCTATCATCAATCATCTTCCAGAAGTTTCTAGCTGTATTAAACATTGGACTCTCTGCAATTATGAATGCTTTCTTTTCTTTGTAACCCTAAAATGATAAGTATATACTTATGATACAAGGAACTAGTGACAATGCATTACATTAATGAAAACTGCATTGATGTAATCTGGATGTTCTCCTTTAAGGGGTACTCTGTAATTATCACCTGTGGATATAAAACACAAAAATAAATGATTAATATTCTTTTGCTTATACATACGTGGCAGGAATTGAGTTGATCTGTTCTTGTCATTATTCTGTGATGCAATATTATGTGTCACTTCATCTGGTCTTTGTGTTACCTGCTCCAATACCTAATAAATGGGATAATAATGATAATAAATTTCTCTGTCTATTTACTGTAAATTGATCAATGAAACCAGTTCGACCAGTTTTAGTATCAGGTTTACTCATCCTGTTGAATACAATACGAGCATTTCTACTATCAACCTGTGTATTACCACATGTCACTGACTCAAGTACAGCATCATTCACAAATATATACTGATCCTGTCATTAATAAAATAAACTAGTTCCAATTTAAATTATTAACTTACTGCTGTCTGAACCATCTTCATCCTCTGTTGTCTCATTTTATTGATAATACTTATAATATCAATCCCTCCTTCCTTCTCTGCCTGTTGTAGTCCCATGTCTATAGCCATGAATGTACCAGTCCTACCTACACCAGCACTAACAAAACAATAAATAAATAAACACATTATGTATAAATTATAATATAAATACCTGCAGTGTACTAGCATTGGTCCTTTGGTAGGTTTGTATTCATTCTTAATTCTACGGTGAAACTGAAGTATTGATGTTGCATATTCAGGTACTCCATGATCAGGCCATGATGTGAAATGATATTGTGTGATCATCAATGGAGGTTGATCTGAACCCAATAACTGAATAAAAACATTAAAAATATAATTCTTGTTTTTTGGCAGAAGACTATATAGTTCATGGTTTTTTGGCCAAAAGCTGAAATATCTATTTGCTACAAAATTTGTTCCAATTTCCAAGTACAATCAAACTTTATTTGAATTCTATAAAACATCAATATGGTTTTTTGCTATTAGTACAATGCGAAGGATTAATAGTTACAAATATTGTACCCTTTGATTTACATTCT